ACGAGCTCGTGGAGGACACTCAGGCGGCTCATGACGAACCTCCTGCCAAGAAAGCGCGGCATGGCCATGACTCCCTCACCATCATCTTTGGCAACATCACCAATTTCGGGGCTAAGGTTCAGGATTGGACGTGGTCGCAGGGAGATGCTTTCCTCCTTCTTCATGAAACGGGTGAAGCGGCCACTTCCCGAGCTCTTCAATACTACACCAACAGGGGGTGGAAGGCCTATGGCTCGGCTGCACACCCTACTGGGCAAGGAGGCAGCTCTGGTGGTTTCTTGACGCTGCACTCCACCAAACACCTCACGCATCAAGCAGCGGAATTCCTCCATGAAGGCAATGGCTGGACCGCGATCGGGTTGCAGAGGCAAGGCATGATGATCTTCCTCATCCAGATCTACCTTAAGACGGGAGAGACTTTACAGTCTCACAGCAACTCTCTCATCCTCAGCCACCTCATGGCCTTCTTGCACCATTTGAGAGCACCTTTTGTCATCGGAGGAGATTGGCAAAATGAACCGGCAGCCCTTGCTGCTACGGTCATCCAAAGCAAGTTTAAGGCGCACATCATGGACACTGGGGGCTGCACCACGTTGCATGGCAGTCAGATTGATTTCCTTTTGGTCTCCAATTCTCTGCAAGGGGCTCTCCGGCTTGAAGCTTCCTGGGAGGTCCCCTGGAGGCCTCATTGTGCTCTTCATGTGCAACTGGATTGTGACCAACCCGCGCAAGCTGTCCAGCAACTTCAGCGTTTCCCTCCGGTAGGGCGGACTTTTCAGTTGCCTCACCAGTGGACGAGCTTCCAGGAGGACAATGGGCCCTTCTACATCATGAACCACCTCATCACTGGACTGGGCTCTGACCTGGCTCGCTGGGCGACACAGACCGAGAAGTACATCACCCAGATGCTTCACAAGCCCACCCTGGGCAGGGGATCCAACATCAGTCTGACACAAGCCCCACTCGTGGACGCCTCCACCTCGCGCAAATGGCTCCGGGGCTCGGTGGCTTTTTGGGAGAAGCTCAACGTCAGACTCAACGTTGCTCACCACTCTGGTCATCGAGGGGTCATGCGTGACCTTCAGGCTATGTTGCAAGACGTTCCTCACTTCTGCTCAGAGGATTTCACTGCGGATGTCTTTGTTGCGCTCGTGGGGCAATGGCTTCAGCATCCCACCACGGATCCGGGGGACATCAGGGCTCAAATCTTGGAGCAGGAGCACCTGGCACAGAAGCAAGCCCTTCAATCCACCAGCATTGAGTTCCACGAATGGCTCAAGAAGGCTCACCATCATGGGCTACGGGGCTTGTTCCGCAGCCTCCGGCAACGGGATCAGGCCTGGCAACGTCCCTTCCAGGACCTCCCTGCCTTGGAGAGAATCTCAAGCAGTGGGGTGACATTTGGCAACCCCTCACCGCCCCGGTTCACATCCGAGGTCTAGAACAGCTGAGGGAGCTTGCGCAGCAAGAGGCTCTCTCCTGGAAGCCGATAGACTCCTCACTTCTTCAGAAGCTTTTGAGGCGCCTTCCCAACAAAGCAGCTGGACCTGATGGCATTTCCTATGACATGCTCAGACATTTGCCGTACCCAGCAGTGCACAGGCTAGCAGCTCTTCTTACCGAGATGGAAAGAGCGGCACTTCTGCCTACGCAGCTTACTTACACCAACATTGTCCTCATTCCCAAGTCTGCCAAGGTCGAGCGGCCTATTGCCTTGACCTCCTGCCTCTACCGCCTTTGGAATTCCTACCGGAAGCACGACATCCAGCGCTGGCAGATGACCCTGGATGATGAGCTTCCCTGGGATCAAGCACGACCCAAGCGGGACTGCCTCTCCATTGCGGTTGGGCGAATGTTGAAGTCTGAGATCAAGAAGCACCAGGGCATCCACACTGTGACCTGTTTGGCTGACTTGTCCTGTTTCTATGACACCGTCAACCTGGACCACATCATTGAGCCTGCGGCGGAGCTCAACTATCCGCCTGTCCATCTCAAGCTGGCTTTGGATCTCTATTCTGGGCCCCGTTTGCTTCAGGCCGAAGGCATAGCTGGTGATCCTCGGCACTACTCCCATGGCATTTTGCAAGGGTGCCCACAAGCTCCTGCCATCAGCAAACTCATCCTCTACAAGCCGCTCAAGGCCCTGCAGCACGCTCACCCGGCGGTTGCCCTACAGACATGGTGGATGATGTCTCCTTTGATGTCTGTGGCCGTGATCCGGATTATGTTGCTCGGGAGGCCATCCTGGCCTACCGATCGCTCCGAGGGCTCCTCACTGAAGCGGGCCTGAAGGTCAACACTGACAAGACCGGCTGTCTGTCCAGCAGCAAGGAAACTGCCCGTGCTCTGAAGCTTCATCTCAAAGAAGACGATCCGCAACATCACAATGTTTTGCGGGACTTGGGAGTTGATGCTACTGCTGGCCGACACCGTCGTGTCACTCAAGTCAAGAAGCGGCTTCTCAAAGGAAGGGGGCGAGCTGGTATTCTGCAGAGGTTGAAGCTCCAGAGGAACATCAGTCATCGCATCCACAAGAGTGCAATCCATCCGGTCATGTCCTGGGGAGCTCAGGCGAATGGATTGGCCCCTCAGAGGAGGCAATACATCCGCGTCATGGCCGCCAGGAGCCTTCAACTTCAGCGCTCTGGATCGGTGGATGTGGTCTTTGATATGCATCCTCACCAACCTGATCCTGGCGACTCCATCATCCAGCAGCATCTTCATTCCGTCTGGAAGATCTATCATTCCTTTGATGAGAGCACGAGGCACCTTTTCTGGACCAGTTGGAATGTTGCCTTGGGAGCTCTGCAGAAGGTGAGATACCGGTGGCAAGTCGTCTCAGGTCCTCTCCAGGCTCTTCAGGCCTACCTCCTGGACTATGATTTCGATCTTTCAGCCGGTCCCACGTGGCGGCGCACCGGCTATGGGGGCATTCCCGACTGTGTCCTCAGTTAGGAGGAATGTTGGCCTGAGCTCCTTCACAAGCTGCAGACTGCTGCGCCTGACCAGGTACGAGGGCTGCCACGACATCGAGAGGCCTTTGGATTGGCAGGTGAGTTTGACTCTGCAGAAGATGTCGGAGAAGAATGGCCCCGCTCTCAGGGCTTTCCATCAAGGCACTCTTCATGGCCAACAAGGCAATTGCCCTCTATGTGGTGACGACCTCACCTTCATCCACTTGTTGTGGCAGTGTCGCTTTTGGAAGGGAAAAGTCAAGGACATTCCTGAAGAGTGGAAAACACGCCTTGCAGCAGGAACGGAACCAGAACTATGGCAACGAGGCATGGTGCAATCCATCTTCTACATCCAGGAAGGAGGCATGGGCACTTTTCAGCATGAAGGGCACTGGACCCCAGAGGCCGCCTTTGACATCCCGGCTGGACATGCCATCTCTCTGGCGGTTGCCCCTACCTGCAAGGATGTGAGGCACAAGCGCTTTGTTTTCGTCCTTTGCATGCACCATGTCTCCTCCAAGCGACGGGTGGCGGCACTCAAAGGCATCTGTCCGGGTCAACCCGCCAGAAGCAGGGCCCTTTTCTATGGTCTCAAGCACCTCGCTTTGCATAGCAAGGAGAAAGTCCATGTGGCCATCTATGACCACGGAGTCTGGAAGCATTGGCAGCCCTCAGCAGCTAATGAGCAGTTTCCTGACCTCTACCAGGGCCTGGATCCTGAGGACTTTGCCCAAGTCCGACCTCTCCTTTTCTCCAAGAAGGAGCAAGACACCAATGGGAATCGGAAGGCTTTCCAGGCGGATGCGGATCAGCTGGCCAGAAATTTTGCCAAGTCGTCACGCAATGAAGAGATCCTGGACCTTCAAAAGCACATAGACGAAGACACTAGAGATGTGCTCTGTGTTGCTGCCTCGAGGATGACTATCCTTCTTCAGGACAAGTCTCATTTTCTCCACCAGGCCAAGGCGGACGCTGCTCCACACAAAGTTCCCTTGGTTGAGCAAACGCGGGCTCTTTGAGGCAACTGGAAACGCGGCCTGACCTTGGCGGCCATTCCTGGCAGGGCTATCGATCCGGAGTCCGATGCGACCACTGCAAGCAACGGTTCCATGCCAAGAGCTTGGTGGCGGATCTTCGGGAGGCCCTGGATTCCACTTGTGCCATGGCTGCCCCTGTTTCGCAGCCGAAGAAAACTCGCTTTCAGGTCATTGACGAGCTGATAGCCGCCCAATCTGGGGTACAGCCTGGAGTACACTTGAAGCTTGACAAAGCATACCTTCGTTGCACCGAATGTGCTGGCTACATTTTGGCTCGCTGCAATGAAGAGCTCTTCACCAACTTCGTGGGTGGAGCATGTATGGTTGGACCTCTTGACCCGTCGCTCTGGCGGGGACACCCTTCGCACACCATGTGCAGGAAAGGGTCCGTGGCACGATGCACCCGTTGCGGAGGCAGCGGAAGGATCAAGGGTTCCGAGGTCGAGTTGAACGAGAAGCTCCGACGAAGGTGCGAACACCTGGGGTCAAAGGACCTCAGGACCTGGTTCACATGACGCACGTTCTAGCCCGAAAAGAGGCGTGCAAAAAAAAAAACATACATACATACAAAATAGATACATTTTCCATTTTGCTGAAAGCTCAGGGGGCTTTCACTTGCTAAAGACCATAGTCTTGATCCCCAAATCGGCTCCTTTGGACAATACGTCTCGCTGTGCCGGGGTGACCACTGCCTGTGACTGTCTTGTGTTGCTGCCGCTATATAAAGTGTTTCATGTTCCAGTGCTTTGTTCCCACATTGACTGTTGTTTGTGGTCCCTCGCTGCCATTGCGTGTAGACTCTAGACATGCACTCACAGGGTATGGCTGCCAGTGGCTCCTTTTGCGGCCTGTGATCCAGAACCACTGGCCATGTAGATGCCAACCTGTGACTTCACAAAACTATGTAACAGCAACTTTACAGGCCTGATGACGTCTCGCAGCACTGTTGTACGGTGCGACAAAGTCACCAGTACCCAGCAGGATCCTAGCACCTTCAGCTTTGCACCAGGCAAACACCTTGCTGAGCCGTCTCAGTCTTCTGTGAGGCTCCCGTGTGGGGATATCGTGTAGCAGAGATAGCCAGTCATACCTTGGCATTCAAAGCTTTCTGCTCGTTGCACTTGCTTTTCTGATTCTTAGATGCTAGACTGCTAGATGACCGGATGACTGATTCACTCGAAGCATTGCTACTAGGAGCAAGGACGCTACTAGGAGCAAAGGGCATCGCTACTAGGAGCAAGGACGCTACTAGGGGCTCGGAGCAAGTGCAAGGCATCGCCTTTTCGGAGCAGAGATGGCACAGTTTGACATTCTGCCACTGACACTGCAGATATATAGTTTGCAGATATCAGGAGTGATGCGATTGATTGAGGTCAAAATTGCGGTGAAACCAGTTGTAGGCGCTCTTGAAGGCTTATATAAAATGAATCTCCTGGTGAATGTGGCTTTAATTAGTCTATTGATTGCGTTTCCAGTGTTTTGGGTGCGATGCCGGCTCGCAGCAAAGACTTGGCTGTTCAATAGACAGCCAGGGTGCAAAGGATTTTTGCAAGTCTTGCCAACATGCAAATGCATCATGTGACAAACACCCACCGAATCACAAGCAGTATTGCTTACGGGTTGGAAGAAGTGGACTATCATGATGTTGCGCTTTTTTTGCAAAGATTCCCTGCTATAGCTTTGGCTCCTGCCCGCACGTCACAGGGCAGTTGGTTTTCAGGAAGCCCAATAATGTGGCTGATTTCACCATGCTGCATGCAGCCAGCTACATTTGTTCAGGAAGCTGCAAGCAACCTCCAGGACGTCGTAGGCTCCTACATAGAAAGGACAGATATCCTTTTCAGGGCTTCCTGATACCGGCTGCTGGTATCTCTTGCGGTTGCGACCGGCGGCATTGTCTTGAGGATGTGCAAGCCGGGCAACCTGATTGGACTTGTCGTGACTTAAACATGGCTACCGATATGTATCTATCCTTTCAAGAAGTCAAAGGATGTTTCATGTTGACGGGTGCAGTCAGCGAGGGATGACCAGCAGCACTCCTTTCCATTCTTTTCTGACCTTCGCACGAATGCTGCGAAAGATGGTCTTCGTGGTCATGAACGAATAGATCGTTCTTGATCATGCATGCACACAGGGAGGGTGGCACGGCACATGAACCAACACTAGCTCCATTCATTTTGGGTACTAGGAGCAAAGGGCGGAGCAAGAAGCTACTAGTAGCTCCTGGCCTTACTACTAGGAACAAGAACGCTACTAGTAACAAGGGCTCGCTTTGCAAAGTCGATGATTGGCCAATCGGAATTTGACCGATTTTCTGAGCACCATTGCCATGAACATCCATGAACCATATCTGGCATCGATTCCTAACGTGCTGAATTCGTATTTCATTTGCAGAATTTGAGGAACCGTTCTTTGTTTTGAGAAATGTAATGTTTTCACCTGATACGTTTATCTCAAACCCATGGTTGATTTTTTCATGTGTGTACCATCCCGGAATTGCTTTTGATGACAGACTGCCCGCGCGAGTAAAGCCACCAGAGACCTTTCGGGCAAGCAAGTTTGACAGATGCAGACTAGATTCTTGATACTCTTGCTTGGTTCCTGTATGTGTGTGCAAAGCTGGACGGATTCTTTTGTTACTAGTTAGTAGAGAACCTGCAAGCCTGGTAAGGGCTTGAGTGCATTGGGATATGAATTCTCAAAAAGGCTTTTGCCTTGCCCAGAAGGTTCCACCAAGTGAAGCAATGACTTCCTTCGCGCCCAGTGTTGCTAGCTTCATGGGTATCAGCGCTGAGTGTTTTGCACAATCGTGGGGCTTCCAGCCAGAGAGACTCCGTGTTGAAATGAGATGGAAAGAAGCATACAGAACAGAAACTAAAAAGCTTTATTGTTGCTAAGAAGCTTGAAAGACCTAAAAAGCTTGATTGTTACTACAGGTGAAACGATTCCCAGTGGAACAGAACCACATATCGATTTAAAGCCTGGCTCGGGGTGGGCCGCTAGAAGAGGTAGCTAGAGTAGCTATTAAGTAGGAAGCTTCTAGTAACTGGACGCAGGATAATTCACACTTCTTCAAGGAAGCGGGGGAGCTTCTTTGAAGAAGCGCTCGCACTAATGATTTTGTTCCTAGATGTTTAGGGACTTAACATGTCAAATGTTTTCTATTGAGTGCCAACGATGGTTGGAAGCCCTGGATAGCTTCACAGCAAGGCTTCACGGTGCTCACCTCCAGAGTGTGGATTAGCACCAGCTCGCTAAGCCTGGGAAGCCTGGGAAACGGGAATGGTAAAGGACGCACGATGACATTGTAAAGCCGGTTCCTAAGGAAAAAGTTGTGGACCAGAATCGATGCGGACGGCGTGCGATGCTCAAGAACAAAGATTCTACTCTTCTTCCGTGAGTACTCTGCGGAAACATGTATAGCCTTTGTTTGCACTTGCTCTTGCAAGTTTGCAGCCTCAAAAGTCAGCGCTCAGCGTGCCGCAGCATTCCAGACGACATGGATGGCCATTCAGTCGGTGACCAAATTCGGATCTCTGAGCCAACATATACTGTAGAAAACAATTTGTGACGTTGGTTTCAATCTTTCTGGATTTATTTTTGCATTCGGGATAAGCCTGATCTTTTTGCACTCGACATGACATAGCAGCATGGAAACATGTACACTACCGAAGGCCCTCTTTTGGCTGAAAAGTACCTGTGCACTTCGCGGTAGGCTTTTTTCCAAGACCACCTGACGTTGGTCAGTTGTTGGCTCCCATGGGACCTAGCTGATGAACGCGCGGCCGTCGACGCTGCCACCGCAGTCGGACTTGCCTGTGGTGCCTGATGATTCTGAGGAGACAAGTCCAATGAGCAGGAGGATCAACAGAACGTGGACCTGTTTGAAATGCCCTTTGAAGAAGAGGATGAACTGGATGCGGCCGAAGGGGCTGCAGCAGGGGCAATCAGTGCTGGTGAAGGACCTCGATTACAAGAGGCGGCAGCTGGTGGTGCAATCAGTGCCAGTGGTGGAAATGATGGAGATGTCGGCCGGAAGGCAATAGATCAACCTGGACGGCAATCCATCGAGCACAGGATCTAAATAGAGTCGGGATGGCCGACTGGACGAGGGGCTCACAAGTCACAACTGGATAATGATCGGGATGGAGTTCCGATGCCACCCCAAAGCTGGCTTGACCACAGCGTGCGAAAAGTGAAGGAGGGGAAGAAGGCCCAGAGGCACCCTGGCTGATCGGGTTCAACGTTCTGAACAACGTGATGGAGAAGATCTTCAACGTGCACTTGAACGTCAAATGATGGAAGACCTCCAGAGGCAAAACAAAATTCTCCGAAGAGAGCTCAAGAAGGCAAGACTAGGCTCCGAGAAAAAGGCCAACGAGGTGAAGGAAGAACCACGATCGCCCATGACGGAGATGTTCACCCCCATGAAACTGGATCCAAACCGTCGAACACCAGGAGGAACGCAAGTCCCACCAGGATCGCCTCCAGTTGAGGGTGAGACATCAGGGAATCATCGTCTTCCTCAAGTACTGCCTTGGCCGTGGACATCCGTGGGACAAGAACTACAGGGGAGTAGCTTGGAACAGGTGTTGTCACCCGGACCTATGGTATGGAAGCGCTACGACCCTGAGGATCGTGAACAACGTGAACAACATGGACGTGAACGGCATCAACGTGAACTTCGCCTACATGGACATGGAGAACGTGAAGGCGGGGCTCATCCCCGACAAGAACGAGCACTTCAAGTGGAAGAAACGGCGAAAGGAAAAGACCTGGTGAATGGGAGACCTCAGGCACTGGGAGATGAATGTGAGCCGCCACGGAGTGCTACGAGCTACAGAAGTGTCCCAAGCTGGGATCTGATCAAAGATGGTGATCGTGACTCCGGCAATGGACAGCGTGAACGATGTTCAAGAGACCTGATTGATGTGGCTGGAAAGGGAGCTACATGATCTTTGAGGTCGACTACATGATTGCGAACGACGGGATCCAGGTGAGACGAAGCCACAATGGGCCTCGGACTATGACACCTGGCTGCAGCAACGGGGGAGGTCTCGTGAGAGTCGAGGAAGAGGTGAAAGGGGGCCGGTGCCTGATGTCTCGTCTCCACCACCTCCACCGTGGACAGCTGCAACGCAAGAACCTCAGGTGAAGAAGGAGGGTGGAACAGTGGACGAGGGTCGGGATGACTTGCGGGCAGTTGCAGCGGTCTTGCCGAAACTCCCAGAAGAAGGTTCTCATCAAGCTCCTCTTCGCTATGGAGATTGGATTGCTGAGGTGGCGCCATTGATTCAGGATGTCAGTGCAGGTGCTGGGAAATTATGGTCTGACCTGATGGCCAAAGTGGGCGAGACATTCCGGTGTTGGTTGGCCTATGATCCACTGACAAGGCTCACCATTGATATTCCTACTCGACCAAATTCATCAAGGCTGGAGGGCCGTGTGACCAGCCTCCTCCTAACATCCCTTCCTCAAGTCGGAAATCATTGCTTCGAGGAAATTGACGGCAGGTGCAATTATGCTGGAGATCCTGAAGCGATTTCAACCTGGTGGACTCACGGAAAAGGCTGGCTTGCTGAAGGCGCTGACAGCACCTACAACAGCGACAAGTGCATCCGAGGCGGTCGATAAACTTCGCCTGCGGGCCCGGAAGGCTGTGCGCGCAAAACCAGATCCTGCACTACAAGTGCGGGCTTTGGACTCCATCTGCCGAGTCGTGCTGAACAGAGAGGCTCAGGCAAACTTCCGCGCGCAAACATGGAGACGTCAGCATAAACCCGACGTCATTATGCAGCAGGAGACCGTGAATCAGTTCTCACGACTCACACCTCCTGCAGTCAGAGATGCAAACCTTGGCACTGTCCACTGAGGAAAAGGAGTTGGGGGATGCAAAAGTGAAGCAAATCCAATCAAGCCCAGAGAAGGGACAAGTCAAGACTGCGCGCACTCATTGGTGCACTGACGCTGGATGCTTTCGTGCGGACAAGCGCAAATTCGCTCGCAGCTGGACGGACGTGGCTGACAAGGCATCAAGATGCTGGCTGTGCTCGAGCCTCGAGCATCATAAAGCTGACTGCCCGGCGGCAGAGAAGACCGAGAAGACCCTGAAGTCCCCGATAAGACCCCAATGATGGCAAGAAGGACCATGCTATAACGGTTTTTGAGCTTGTGGACTTATAACCCTAAGATATATCTAACTTATGAACCCCTAGACGTGATAAAGTGCAAATGAACTTATGGAACTTATAAGTTCCCCACGTTGCCCTGTTTTGTACTTCTAGAAAATCACCACATTTTTTTCCGGGGGGTGGTCGTTTTTGATTTTTTGGTGGGCCGTTTGTTCCGCGCACAGGTTTTGCAGAAACTCCGACGCATGAGGCTCGCCCATGCCAAAAATCTGTCGGTAAATCGGGGTTCCATTTTTGTTTGAAACTGAATTCCGTTATCCCTCTCCCCAGGGAAGTTGTACCCAAAATGAGGGAGCCAGGTTGACGACAAGCATGAACATTCGAGGCCACGCGCGCGCGCTGTTGAGGAGATACTTTTTCACCGCGAGATTCGCGC